TCAGGCGAGAAAATGCTGACCAGTTAAACATATACACATGTAGTAGAATCTGCTGACCAGTTAGATATATAGGGAAACTGCTGACCAGTTAGAAATATAGAAAAAAATATATTTTGTCGTCTGAAATTTTAATTCATTTTATAATGTACGAAATTCAATTATATTGTATAAAATTTTGTCGACATTTAATTAAGTTAAAACACTGCTGACTTATTTAATATTAATTCAAATTGCAATTATTGCTTTTGAAAATAATACATTTTTTTTCCGTTACAAGATTTTTTCTATTGAAATATCACTAACAAGAGATTTTGATAAAACTCATAACATCATAATTCTTTATAAAACATTAATTCAAATTTTTGCATATCTTTAGAGTATGTCGGACCGTATTTGGTACAAAAAACGAATATGGTACAAATTTGTACCATATTCGGCCGAATATGGTACAACTGTCTAATTGTACCATATACGTATCTGCAGTTTTGGGGTAAAATGCCTGACCAAATATGGTACAAACTTGTACCATATTCGGGATTGAAAAATGTACCACATTCGTTCCGAATATGGTACACACTCATCATCGTCATCATCATCATCATCATCATCGTTATCTCATCATCATCACCATCATCATCATTATCATCAATCATCATCATCATCATCATCATCATCATCATCATCATCATCATCACCATCATCATCATCATCATCATCATCATCATCATAACTACAATTTGCATCAACGTCATCAATACCATCATGAAAATAATCATCATCGTCATCATCATCATCATCATCATCAGCATCATCCATCATCATCATAATCATCATCATCGGCGGCCGGTAATCATTGGCGTCAACATAATAAAAAACTTTTTTTTCATCATCATCATTATATCATTATCATCGGGCCGATAAACATCGCAGTTATCATCATCACAATTACATCAAACCCCAATCATCATCACCATTGTCATCATCATCAATTACATCATCATCGTCACCATTAACACCATCATCATCATCGTCCCATTAACGCCATTTCATCATCATCGTCATGATGATGACAAAGTTTTTGATGATGATGACGACGATCAAAATTACCGTCATCATCATCATCACAAACTTTTTATCATCATTTCATCATCATCACCATCATTATCACCACAATCATCAAGGTCATCATCATCATCAAACACCATCATCATCATTCACCATTATCATCATCGTAATGAAGATCACAAAATGTGATGATGATAACTGCGATGTTTTTCGGTCGATGGTGATTTGATGATGACAAAAGTTTTGTAATGATGATAACGACGGTCAGCACATCATCATCATCATAATCTACCGATAAAAAAATCGCCGTCAGCATCATCAAAACACATTTGTCATCATAATTATCATCATTATAATAATCATCATCGACCGATAAAACATCGCTGTCATAATCATCAAAATACGTTTGTTATCATCATCATCATCATTCATCACATCAATTATCAACACCCCAATGATCATCATCGTTGTTATCTTCACCAACACCACCATTCATCATCACCATCAAAACCAACATCATCATATCCATTATCATGATCGTAATTGGTGATCACAAAAGTTTTTTTTGTGATGATAATGACAGCGATGTTTTCGGTCGATAATGAGGATGTTGTGATGATGATGACGACGATGAGAATATCATCATCGGCCAAATAAACATCGCCATCATCATTCATCATAAACGTTTGTTATATCATCATCATCATCATCATTATCATATCATCATCACCAAAATCATCAAACCCCAATCATCATAACCACTGTCATCATCATCATCACCACCATCATCATCACATTTTTTTACGCATCATCATCATCACAAATGTTTTGTCATCATCATCATCACATATTCATTTTACATTTTTGTATTTTATAATTTGTTTTCATTCAAGAGATTCAAAAAACATGTACTTTTTCATTTCATTTATTGGTATACTGACAGGATTTTTTCAAGTAATATTGAAGAACATAGAACAGCATTTAAATTTTAATCCAACTGTAGCATTTTGACCAGACATAATATACATATATACATTCATTTTAGTAGCAGCCAAAATATCCCAAATGTGCTTCGTAAAAAAGTTACCATTAAATGAGCAAATTACAACAAATTTCCGGTAGAAGAACATAATCATCAATCACAAAAATAACCATAACAGGTTTCCAAACACCGAATATACATGTATATTTCACCTGTAATGTCTGTACATGACATCTATGATATCATACCAACCGATTCCACTAACACGCAAAACGCAGCCATGCGTTTGCCCATTCCTGCAACGACGTTTGCTTAAAGCAAATCATATCTGGACAAAACCTACCAATTATTATTAAAATGTATTAAAATATAAGCATTAATACCGAGGGGTATTAAACGATCAAATTTCCAGAAGCGCTGGCGCGCTTCATGGATTTGCTCGCCTACCTTTTACCCTTACAAGTTCACACTCTATGAACATAACCAAAATGCGATAATCCTCAAAAACTTTTTACAGAGTTACCTGGAGCAAAGCACGTCTCTAGTCTTAGAGTACTAGTACTTAGTAACCAGTACTAAGCAGATACATTCGCCAGTAATTGGACAACTGCCCTACTTGAAAACAGCGGTAGGGAAGAATGGCCGTAGAAATCATTTCGTGACCAATCTCCACGAAAGGTATCTGGCCCGCCCGGGAATCGAAAACCCAGGCCGCCTGCGTGCCAATCTGACGCGCAACCGACTGAGGTAGCCGGCCCCGAAACAGTTACAAAACCAGCAAAAAATCCATGTAAAAGTGTGGTTAGGTTAGCTGTTTCTGTTACTGCTAGTTACGACGACGACGACGACGACGACGACGACGACGACGATGATGATGATGATGATGATGATGATGATGATACTTTTGTCATTCCAATATTAGGTTAATACAATGTATTTGAGTTTGAAAAAAAGTTTACCACTCGGCAGACTATTTCATTTATTAAGAAATACATAATTTATGTACCATATACGTAGGCCATTTTCATTTTTATGAGTTTTTTGTGGTATGTACCAAATACGTTTTGGCGAGCATAGAAAAACTTATTCCAACCGAATATGGTACAATGTTTGTACCATATTCGGTCGAAAATTGTACCATATTCGGTCCCGAATATGGTACATTTGTACCATATTCGACCGAATATGGTACATTTGTACCATATTCGTTTTTGTACCAAATACGGTCCAACAGAGGTATAAAAAGCTGTTTAATATATCCTTTTAAAATCACGGATTTATATTACATGTAGTAATGTAAATCCGTGTTAAAATGTATGATATTATGGTACTTTAAATGTATATATTAATTTAGTTTTATAAACATAGTCATATAAATGCAAAAATTAAAAAATATAATTAAAAGATAAAAGTAATTTTCCCATCTTTTTATTACCCCCTACGGCGTGTTTATATAACTTCACACCTTCAATGTTTCCCTTCTTTGTGTAACTGGTCAGCCATTTTCGATAATCCTTCTTTATTTAAAACTGGTCAGCAGTTTCCTATATATCTATATTTCGTCAAGCTAATTCGTCAGCAGTTTAGTGCGACCCTTCCATGATCGCACCGTTTGTCGGTGAGTTAGTAAATTCTGACCCAAGCACCGGTAGACGCACGACAATGCGATACGATATTATTCCAAATGTCGCTTCGCATTGTCGAGTGTCGCTTCGCGTTGTCGGAGTATCGCTTCGCGTTGTCGAGTGTCGCTTCGCATTGTCGAGTGTCGCTTCGCAATGTTGAGCGTCGCGGTGTAAAAATCATAAAAAATAACGCGACATTTACTTGACATTTTAAAAATTCGCTTCGCGATGTCGAGTGTCACTTCGCATTGTCGAGCGTCGTATCGCATTGTCGAGTTGTCGTTTCGCATTGTCGAGTGTCGTGGTATGCACTTCTACCAACCTCGACACTCGACAATGCGAAGTGACAATGCGACAACGCGAAGTGACATCGCGACAACGCGAAGTGACATCGCGACAACGCGAAGCGACGCTCGACAATGCGAAGCGACACTCGACAACGCGAAGCGACATTTCTTAAATGTCGCCCTTTTTTACCGCGACATTTCTAGGCGACAGTGCGACATATCGTTTGACACTGTCGAGCGTCGCTTCGCATTGTCGCATATCGCTTCGCGTTGTCGAGCGTCGCTTCGCATTGTCGCGATGTCACTTCGCATTGTCGTGTGTCTACCCTTAGACGCGACGGACGACATTCTAAATGGCACGATAAGGACACCGTAGTCAAGAGATAATGAGTGTGGGATGTTATACTGGTCACCTGGTGCAGTAACTGAAAATTCAAATCATACGGTACCGAAAACTATTTTATCTGGCTGATATATGGCCAGATTTTTATAAAACAGTTTATGCCTGGAAGGCAGCTCGGCCAAAACATGTTAAGGTAGCGCATTGGCTTCTCATGTGGGTGGGGTACGTAATTTATCATTTATATTTTTTTTGTTGAAATTCCTAATTTCTTGTGAATATCAGGTATCCCATGAGAGAGAAAAACATTCATATTTGAATATGCTGAATGTGAAACGAAAAATTTTACTTTTTTGAAACCTAATCTTGCTGGTTCACAAACAAATATAATATGACACACTCACATACATCAACTCCCAAAAAATCTTAGTTCAAACCCTTATTAAGAGAATGTAGATGCAAAAGTAGTTGTTAATCTATCCAATAATGAGTACTTTTGATATTTCCAAGTTCACCATAATGAAGAAATAAAATTTGAAAGGTAACTTCTTCATAGTGTGGAATTTAGATTAGATTTTAACAAAAGTCTCTTCCCAAGTGTTCTCCGGGTGAAATGATAACGTTTGCTCCTATATAATGAATATATAATGTGCTCACTCAATGTGTTTGTAAACTTTCCATACTGTTCTATAATATTGCTTATACATACGTATATGCATATACCATAGGCATATTTGGTTTGGAACTGAAACTCTTTCTTTTCAGGTAATGTATATTACCACCCTCCACCCACTTTGAAACTCAATGCGCTACCTTAATGTTTCAGCTTTCTGCTACTCGACATTCAATCTGACTGTCATTTTTGCAGCAAAAAAAATATACAAACCAGTTGTCCATTCATTGCAATCTCCAGCAAGCCAGCAGGGACTTTCAGATCACGGTCGTCCTCCAAGAACAAGGTTACATAATCATCCTCTATATCTATACCTTCTACGGATACTGACTCCACTTCAACAGGTGCTTCGGAAACCTAGTAATGTAGCATGGGTTACATAAGTGAATGCATAATTTATGTTTCGTAATGTATGCACATGTATGCAAGTTATTCACTGTTTGGTAAACATTATATCACTAACAACAACTCAATTACACTGGCTACTCCAAAAACATTTCTACACCACTGATATTAGCACGAGGCTCCTAAATCTTAGCCAAATATGTGTTTGATCCCCTAAGAGCACCTGATTCTCAATAAAATTTATAAAAAGGTGCCCGAATAGCTCAGCTCATTTAAAAAGAAGCCAAATTTGACAGGCTGCATATCTATAATTGACATCTTAATTATTGAACAATTCAACATTAATTTTAATGAGAAAATTAATCATTAAATTATTAATGATAAACTGTTAAACTACCTTCACAAGTGTCTGGCCAGTGCCGCTAAGGCTAACCTGGCCTCGATAGTTATTAATCACTAGGTTGGTGACATTGACATGGTCACCTACGCGGGCCTCGTACTCAGTGCTCTTGCGCCACAGTGCGACCTTGGCTCTCCCAGAACTATCCTCAATCGTTATTTCCTTCATTGCCGTTGAGCGGCCAGCGACCTGGCGCTCCGCAGTTTCTTCCTCCTGAAACCAAATAGAAAGATAGAGTTGGGTTTTATTGCCCACCAACACTGTTTGGGTTATATGAGGCTGAACAGGAAAGGTGATTTCAGGAAACCTCTGGTGTAACAGCATTCCAGGCCGAAACCACCCAACCTGCCAGAATCTCAGAAATGCAGAGAAAAGCCTGTGGCATTTGAATTGGGAAAAATAAGCGTTATAAGACCTTAAATTGGGAAAAATGAACTTAAATCTTTAATTCTTTTAAGTTTTAGCGTATGAAAACAAAATGTAGTGTTGAAATTCATTCTATTTAACTAAGATTTCATCAATTAAGCAAATAAGAAAGGCAATTTTCATCAGAAATTCTGCAGTAGCCTTTTAAATTTTTCTAGCTCATTTCAATTGGGAAAAATGACGTCTGTTTTGGGAAAAATTGACCAATTTTTGGGGAAAATGGAGGGTTTTTGGAATTGGGAAGCAGCCTAATACAGGCTGTAAATTTTGGGTAAAAAATCACTGTGAGTGATTTAATATGTTATTAAGCAATGCTTTCAACGAGAAGGTTCATCAATTTTACCATTCAAGTTTATTTATCAATGACATAGGAATATAGTATTGGTATATAAACATTTAACCTACCTTTACAATCCTTCCAGCAATGCTGGTCCTGTGTTTTGGCGGGGATTGAAGTGCTGTCGTGACAGGCACAACCTCTGCATCCCTGTCACTCAGCATATCCTCCAGACAGCGCCGATGATCTTCGGGCACAACCAGTCCACCAGTCATGCCCACCTTGCTCTTGCTTGTTACAACAAGAATTTCAACCCCATTTTCTGTCCTGGATATGACGTTGTATAAGATCACGTCCTGATTCACCACAAGCTTCGTAAATGCATCTCTCTTGTAACAGATGACTTTCATCAGCTTCTCCCCCGTTGATATGCCAACCGCGAGGCTTTGCTTGTCCTCTCCATTTGATGAATATTCAAACACGGGCTTCCTCACAAGGACCTTGCCCTTGAACTTGTTGCCCATTGGGGTACTGGTTCTGTGACTGTTCATCTTCCTGAAACAAGTGAAAACGCACAAATATTATTAACAAACCATATATACATACAACATATTCAATGCAAAATTGTTAAGGAGTAAAGACATCTAGATTCATGAAGTTTACAAAAAGGTTACTTATCAGGCTTGTGAAATATATTTTGGTGACTTAAAAAGCCTTACTCTGTAACAAATAATTTTAGGTTAAGCTTCAAGTTATCTTGATTCGAACTTCATAGTCAATGTAAACTAAAGAATCTGCTTTCGAAATTCATGCTGATTTACAGTGGCAGAACTTTACGCATTATGATATAGTGTATTATTGCTTTATAAAGGCTTTATTCCAGACATATTTTCTTAACTCCATAGTCAATGTAAACTAAAGAATCTGCTTTCAAAATTCATGCTGATTTACAGTGGCAGAACTTTACGTATTATGATATAGTGTATTATTGCTTAAGTTTATGAAGAATGCGTTCCAGAATAAAAAAGGAAATTCCAGATGTCCTTTTTCCGGGGGTCGACCTAAATGCACTTTTTCGACAACAAATTTACATGCCCAGAGAGAGATAGAGTATTCGCTGACTTAGAGGAATAATTCCCCTATATTTTAAACCTCATACGAAACGCTTGGTACCTGTCCGTTCTGTGGATAATATTCCATTACCTTTTATACGAATTTATTTTCTGACGATTATGTTGGAAAATCGTTTTTCGGGGCTATTTGATGAATACATATAGAAGAAGATTTTGCTTGCTTTTAAATGGGTCAATATTATTGTTCATTTGTGCGGATTACAAAAGCCGTTTTAATTAATTGTAGACGGCCAATGTATTTTTTTAAATATAAAAAGGAAGGTTAAATAATAACGGAAATGTCTGTTAATTTTCGATACATGTTTTCATACTTTTATTTGAGAATATAAAGAAGAAACACAAAGAATACACCCAATAATAATTACATTCAATAAATAATATAATAATGGTTTATATAAAAACTGTTGACATTTATCTGTAAAACTATTTCAACTTATTTTTTACAAACATAAATATGTTTATCAAACAACCGTACACGTATTATCATTTAAGTAAATTGAAAACATAACAAATTGATAGGCCATGCTGATCTTTATTTTTTTTCTTATGTAGTGTAGTTGTTTATTCTATACTATATACATGTAGTGTAAAGTATATGTTTCATTAATTATACACTTATGAAAAAATATTCAGATGTATTCATCAATGGAATGCGTATTTTAATTTTCCATATATTTCTCTGTATAAGATTACATTTACTGTTGTGTATCATATTTTTCCGTACTTTCATTCGAGTCGTAACTTCTTTCATTAATATACATATTAAAATAAAATAAAAAATGGGACTGTATCACTGTAAACAATTTTAAAATAAAGTAAACGCATTTAATAAACAAAAAACATTTTATTATTTTTCCAAAATAACCCGGGGTTTTAAAATTTTTATGATTTCCAATTAAATTATAAACTTATTCCGTTTTTAAAACAAATTTTATAAAAATCATTTTTATAAAACCCCTCGAAAGAAATTTTAAAAGTTTTTTATATAAAAAAAGTCCCTTTTTTATCATCTTTTCATTAAAATTTAAATTCTTTTCCTTAATATTTAAATTCGGAAATTATTGGAAATATTTATAAAATGGGAAAGGTGATAGTTTTTTTTAATTTTTTTCTGAAAAATTTTTCTTAATTTTTCAAAATATTTTCCCTATTTTTTACTGGTTTTCTTTTCCGGTTTCCCTTTCTTCTAAAATCACCAAATCACGAAATTGGGGAAAAAATATTTTCAAGTTTAAGTGTTTGAACAAAACGGTTAAAAAAAATTTTTTTTTATTTAAATTAATTTTAATTTTTCCCCGTGGGAAAAAATTCAATTTTTTCCCTATTTTTTTTCTTTTATTT